TGCCAGCTGCTGGGGTCCCTCCCAGGGCCAAGGACAGCGAAGGTTGCTGGGTGGGCCTGGAGGGGGGAGGCTGGGCAGGACCTGGTGCAGGTTGGGGTGGAGGGAAGTCCCAGAAAGGAAGGGGAGCAGGCAGCCAAGAACCCCCGGAGGCAGGACCACGCAAGCAGAGGTTCCAAGCCGCTGGGTGCACGCTCCATTGTCCCATTAGACTTCACTTTCCAAAACACAAATTCAAAGATAAAATTATCAAGAATTTCAAGACAGAAACCACAGAGCATTAAACTCCAAGTGCTGGGCCTTCTGAGTGCAGGGGTCTTGTGTGACTGCCCTGATCTCACAGCCATGAAGCCCACCCTGCCTCTCACCAACACAAGATGAGAGGCTTTAATAAGGATCTCAGCCTCACTGAAGCCCTGTGAGGTGGGCGTTATTATCCCCATTGCACAGATAAGAAAACCTCTCAGACAGGTGGATTAGCTTGTTTGCCTGGCCCAGAGTCACACAGCTAATAGGATAAGGAGATGGAAATTCAATGTTTGATTCCAAACCTCTTAACTTTTCTGCCAGTTGAAACAATGAGGCCGATAAAAGGCAGCGCAATGAGGTGTGTGCCGAAGCGGGGGATGCACGAAAATTCAGAGAAAGGGCAGAACACTGTAGGTCGCAGCTGCCAGAGGAGGCTCCATGCAGGTGTGGCCCTTGAGCTGGGACTGAAAGTAGGGAAGAGCATCTCCAGCAGAGAGAATAGCATGAGCTGCTTTGCCAGGTGGGCCTGAGAGGAGAACAGGCGCGGTTCCTGGGACAGGAGGAGTCAGGCCAGTGAAACAGGAGAGAACCGCAGAGGCAGGACTTCCACTGGACGGGGATGCCCTTGACCAAATGTCATAAAGGACACTGAGGCCAAGCTTGGGAAGCCCTCCTGGAAGGACGTTTTGGTGAGAAGGAGAAGCATTCTGGTGGTGGCTGCAGAAGGCAGACTGCTGGGGCTTAGTGGAGGGATGGGTGAGAAAATCGAGCCTGGGTCTAGACCATTTTGGGATAAATTTGGCCCCAAAAGAGAAGAAAAAATTAGGGGGGTAACTGGAAGAGGGAAAGGGACATTTGAATGTGCTAGTGATTTTCTTCTTCAAGACCTGGCTGACTTGCCCTTTTAGGGCAGAAAGCAGTAAGTCTGGGAGAGGTGCTGGAGAGGGAGAGGGCGAGGAGCAGCTCCCTGAGCACCTATTGCATGCCAGGGCCTGTACTTTCCCGTTTCATTTCCTCCCAACAACCCCTGAAGGCAAATATTCCTGCTCCTACATCACCTGAGGGAGAGGCCAAGAATCACAGCGGTGAGGGCAGGGCTGGGGTTTGATCTCCTATTTGTCTGACTTCAGAGCCCATGCCTACTCCTCTGTGCAGAGAGGGGAGGGGTTGGGTTTATCAAGGAGAAAATGTCTGTTCCAACTGCCTAGAATGCTCTTCTCCTGGCTCTTTCTCATCCTTCAGTGCCCAGCTTAACTATCACCTCCTCAGAGAGGCCTTGGCTACTGAGTCTAAAGGCACACCCCTTCCCTTCCCAGTCTATCATTCTCTAGTCCTTTTCTGCACTGATTTACCACAATCCTAATTTTCATGTTGATGTATTGGTTTACTTGTTTGCTGTTTGTCTCCCCTGCTAGACCTTAAAGTCCTTGAGGGCAGACACTTGGGCTTGGTCACGGCTACGGGCCCAGGGCTAACACAGGGCCTGGCACATATTCAGCACAACAGAAATCTTCATCAACTGAATAAGGAATGAACAAACGAACAGGTCCAGATCCCTGCTCCACCACTTCCCAGCTTTGTCCTTAGATTAATTACCCTCTCTTAAAGGTTCCCCATTTGAAGATCAAGACTTTCAAGTCGTGATGATTGTGTATTGGAGATTGTGTAAAATGCCTGATTACATGAAGAGGCTTCATAAATGACAGGTATTTTTTGTGCAGTTCTTCTTTCCTTCATCTGAAACACGTACTTTTTTTGGCCTGGCTTAAAGACCTATTGTCCATGTTTCAAAATAATTTTTTGAGATATAACAAATGTGCAGAAAAGTACACACACCAATTTTTACATATATATGTGTGTGCATATATATATAGCCATACACATAACCATGTAACCACTTCCCAAATTAAGAAGTAGCACATTCTAACACCCAGGAAAGTTTCCACGTTAGCCTCCCCCATCCCCTCCCTCTACCAATGACACCTCCCATTCTTCCCCTCCTCTGTTTGATCTGAGATCATGGCATGTCCATTGTCCCTTCAAGCCATTTCTGATCATTTCTTTTCCCTGTTCCTCTTCTGAGACCTTCCCTAATAACTCTAGCTCTTACGAGTAGGAGAGCCTACCACCAAACCAGAGGTCTCCAAAGTACAGGACATGCAACCCAGTGGAGTACAAGATGATTCCTGCAATTCCACTCCTGGGTATATGCCTGAAATAACTGAAAACAGGTACTCAAACTAGTGCATGTACCTGCATGCTCATAGCAGCACTACGGATAATAGCCAAAAGATGGAAGCAGCCCAAATGTCCATCCACAAGTGAATAAACAAATTGTGGTATATACTTATATATTCAGCCATAAAAAGGAATGAAGTACTAATACATGCAATCACATGGATGAACCTTGAAAACATTTGTTAAGTGAAAGAAGCCAGACACAAAAGGTCACATATCGCGTGATTCCATTTATACGAAATATCCAGAAGAGATAAATCCATAGTGATAGAACACATATTGGTGGTTGCCAGGAGCTGGCTGGTGGGGATTGGATGCAGAGAAACTGCTTAATGGGTAACGGATTTCACTTTGGAGTGATGGAAATGTTTTGGAACCAGAGGTGGTGGTTCCACAACATTGTGAACATGCTAAATGCTACTGAATTGATCACTTTAAAATGGTTAATTTCATGTTATGTGAATTTTACCTCAATAAATTATTTTGAAAAAATGAAGTAGTCACTCGTACTGGTGAGCTGAGGTTTGAATAAGGCACAGACTCCTTAAGCTTTCTTTTTTTTTATGCAACATTCTTTTTTTTTTTTTTTTTGTGAGGAAGATCAGCCCTGAGCTAACGTCTATGCCAATCCTCCTCTTTTTTTGCTGAGGAAGGTCAGCCCTGAGCTAACATCCACTGCCAATCCTCCTTCTTTTTTCTCTTTTTCTCCCCAAAGCCCCAGTAGATAGTTGTATGTCATAGTTGCACATCCTTCTAGTTGCTGTATGGGGGACTCTGCCTCAGCGGGACAAGCAGTGCGTTGGTGCGTGCCCGGGATCCGAACCCGGGCCGCCAGTAGCAGAGCGCATGCACTTAACCGCTAAGCCACAGGGCAGCCCCTCCTTAAGCTTTCTAAGCTGTGAAGTGCTGGGCAAATACCAGCTGGGGGCGACTGAAGGAAGGAGTGGCCTGGGGGTCAGCAAGTGTGGCTTTGCTGCTCTGCCCTAAGTAGTAATGATATGATAAGAGACAGCTATAATAATTACAGCTAACACTTCTATAATGTTTAATATGAGAGGCACTGTTCCAAGTGCTTTACATCTTAAACTCACCAAATCCTTACAACTTTAAGAGGTGGGTAACTATCCGGTTTTCATTACAGATGAGGAACTGAGTGTTTAATGACTTGTCTAAGTTGCAGAGGAGGAAGTGACGGAGTCCGAATTTGAACCTACGCAGTCAGGCTCCAGGTACTCAAGTCTCAATCCCCAGGCTCTGTGCTAAGTGCTTTCCATGTTTTCTCTCATTTAATCCTGTGAGGTAGGTGTTATTGTTATTATTCCTATTAAAAAGAAAATCCCCTCATGGTCCCTCCATATTCAATGTCTTCCAGTCTTTCCCCTGAATTTATCTTCATGTTGGTCTACATGCCCCTGTCATCTTATCTTGCTTCATCTTCATTTTTCTTTATACTGCTCATATTACTACCTGAATTTATTATTTATGCTGTCTTTCGGTCTCTCATCACTAGAAGGCAGGGCTTTTGATGATTATTGATTTCCCAATACACAGAACAATGTGTGGTACATAATAGGCTCTCAAAAATTTAAACGAAAGAATGGTGCCCACGGTATTGGGTAATCTTGCATGCCTGTGTTCAAGTAAATAAAATCATACTGTACATGTTCTACTTTTTTAAAAAATTTAATGTCTTGGATTTTTAAACATCAGTACATAGATCTAACTCATTCTTTTTAACAGATAGATGATATCCTCTATTGTGGAGGTAGCACCGTTTATTTACCCAGTTTCCTACTTAATCCGCATTTTTCGCAGTGATTCTCTAATGCAAATAATATGGCAATAAACACCTCAGCACGTCTTATTGTGGGTATGTGTACACATTTCCCTAGAATTAGTGCCTAGAAGTGGAATTGCTGGACGGAAGGGTATATACATTAAAAATGTCAACAGATAACGCCAAATTGCCCTCCCGATATCCATTCCTGCCAGCGCTGAATGACCGTACACAACAGGTTTTCACATACCTAGCACCAGACTTGATATTATCAGTCTTTTTAACTTTTTGCCAATCTGATGGGGGAAAAGGAACCCCCAATTTACAGATGAGGAAACTGAGGCTCAGGAAAGTTTAGACACTTTCCTACATAACCGGTAAGTAGCGGAGCGTGTCCGACTCCGGAGAGGACGCGCCAAAGCTGGACACTGTTCTCTATGCTGTGCCTCCTCGCGTATGTCTGGTTATCCCTAGGCCTTGATGCGGGCAGGCTGGCCTTCGTTCCCCCTTGAGGCCTCAAGCCCCTTCCGGGCGGCTAAAAGCCAACCTTCTCTCGCTTCCCCACCGCCTGTCCGGGAGCCAGTCAGCACCCGCCTTGCAGCCTCCACAACTCCAAAATGGCGGCCGGCAAGCTCGCGAGGCCACGCCCTTCCACGCGAGGCGGGGCTTGAGTTCAGGCCAGAGCGATGGATGCCCGAGCCAAGTTTGAAGTCGGTTGCCAGGCGGGCTCGCGCAGAAGCAAAGAGCCAGTGGCGCCGCAGGTCGGGAGGAGGAGCACCGAGTGGAGGGCTCGTTTGCCTGGGCGGCTCGAGAGTCTCTTCTTCGCGGGCGCTGGGCCGCCATCTTAGATGGCGGGAGTAAGAGGAGAGCGAGAGTGAGACGGGGAGGCTCCCCTGCCGCTCTTCTTGGGCCCCGAAGAGGGCCAGCAGGCCGGGCTTGGGGCGTGTGCCCTGAGGTGCGGAGCGCGAGTGCAACGATGCGAGGGCTGCCCGGGGCCCCGTCCCCTGGGCTGGGGACGCGCCGAATGTGACCGCCTCCCGCTCCCTCACCCGCCGCGGGGAGGAGGAGCGGACCAGACGCCGCAGCCGGACGACGGGACACGGAGGCGGCCCGGCTCCCTCAGGTAGGCGGCAGGGCCGGGCCCTGGATGCCGGGGGAGCCGGGCGGCGGGGCTGAGGGGTTGGTTCCCGGGCGGCGCTGACGGAGCAGCCCCGCGGCTGCCGGGCGCCGGGCCCGGGCCAGGCCGCTGTCACCCCAGGTGGCGCTGGGCGGACGGGGGCTCGGGGCCCGGTGTCATGGCCGGCGAGCGGAGTTCCCACATCCCCACTCAGATTTCCTTGTGCTTCGGGGAAACGTGCCAGCGCCACCCCTGTACCCGGTGCACGTTCCTCATATTTGACAATGCGAAAATCCGCCTGGAGCTGCCCCGTTTCTGTGTTGTCACTCAGATGGGCTAATTCCTTTTCTTTCTGGCCGCGGAGTGGGGAACCCGGGCTTGCATCTTCTCTCGGTGTCCGTCACTCAAGTGACACCCTTTTAGGGAAGACGAGAGGAGTCGGGCACGAGAGGAGGAAATGGGTACAGTGCCCCACCAGAAAGGCATAGGGGCCTCGCCTGGGGTTTCAGGCCTCTGTGGGTTACTAATGAAAGGTTTGGGATGCTTTTACTGACGAGTGCCCCGGGATGCTTTGGAATGACGATCCAGGGCTGTCTTTTGTGTGAAGTGAGAGCCACCAGGACGCTTCAGTTCTGCAGCTGCAGACGCTCTGCAGAGTCGGTCGATGCCCCGAGAAGAGTTTGGACATCGTGAGAGGCGAAGCTGTTGTGTTCATTCATTGTTCTCTTTCCAGGGCTCTGCGTGTGCCCTCTGGTATTCATTCTTTGGTGGGAAGAATGATAGGATCTCCCGTGTTTCCTTGGGATGTGACTGGGTTCTCGAGGATTTCTTAATCTAGGTAGGGAATGAATTCAGCGCACGTTCATTGAGTATTTCTGCCTGCCTTGTTCTCTGTGGGCTGAGTGGAGGGAGTCTGCTCTCGGTTCTCTTCCGAGGCGTGAAAACAATGCTCTGTGATAAGGATAAGGTTGTGGGAACTTGGAACTGGCTTTGCCTGGGGGAGTTGAGGAAGCTTGTCCACTGGAGGGGACTTTTGCGCTGAGTTTTGTAGTGATGAGTAATTACTCTCCAGGTGAGGAGGAGGGGAGAGCATTCTAAGCTGAGGGAACAGCTGGTACAAAGGCATAGAGATGTGCAGGAGTTGGGATGAGTTTGAGGAGCAGCAAATAATCCGGGGTGCAGGGAGGAAGTGGTGAGAGATGAGGGTCTAAAGGAAAAGTTGACTAGATCATGAAGGATCTTTGTCGACGATAGTGAACTAGTTGATTTAATTTGGATTATTTTAAATGAATGTTGCTAATTCTTTTTTCATGCTGATAATTAATTTCCCCCTTTTCTTGATGATGTTGAAGCTGGTAGTAATTGAAAAGATTTACTTTGTTAAACCCAGTTAAGAACATTTTTTTTATTGATGTTTTAATAGTTTTTAACATTGTGAAATTTTGGGCTGTACATTTTTGTTTGTCCATCACCGTATATATGTCACCCTTCACCCCTTGTGCCCACCTCCTACCCCCATTGCCCCTGGTAACCACAATACAGTTTTTCTGTCCGTGTGTTGGTTTAAATTCCACATATGAGTGAGATCATACAGTGTTTGTCTTTCTCTTTCTGGCCTATTTCACTTAACATAATACTCTCCAGGTCCATCCATGTTGTTGCAAATGGGACGATTTTGTCTTTTTTTATGGCTGAGTAGTATTCCATTGTATATATATACCACATCTTCTTTATCCATTCATCAGTTGAGGGACACTTGGGTTGCTTCCACTTCTTGGCTATAGTGAATAATGCTGCAAGGAACATAGGGGTGCATAAGCCTCTTTGGATTGTTGATTTCAGGTTCCTTGGATAGATTCCCAGTAGTGGGATGGCTGGATCATAGGGCATCTCTATTTTTAATTCTTTGAGGACTCTCCATACCGTTTTCCATAGAGGCTGCACCAGTTTGCATTCCCACCAGCTGTGTATGAGGGTTTCTGTTTCTCCACAGCCTCTCCAACATCTGTTGTTTTTTGTCTTGGTGATTATAGCCATTCTGACGGGCGTGAGGTGATATCTTAGTGTGGTTTTGATTTGCATTTCCCTGATGATTAGTGATGTTGAACATCTTTTCATGTGCCTATTGGCCATCTGTATATCTTCTTTGGAGAAGTGTCTGTTCGTTTCCTCTGCCCATTTATTTATTTTTTTTTGTGAGGAAGATCAGCCCTGAGCTAACATCCATGCTAATCCTCCTCTTTTTGCTGAGGAAGACCGGCCCTGAGCTAACATCTATTGCCAATCCTCCTCCCTTTTTTTTTTTTCCATTTTTCTCCCCAAAGCCCCAGTAGACAGTTGTATGTCATAGTAGCACATCCTTTTAGTTGCTGTATGTGGGACACGGCCTCAGCATGGCCGGACAAGCGATGCGTCGGTGCGCGCCTGGGATGCGAACCCTGGCCGCCAGTAGCGGAGCGCGAGCACTTAACCGCTAAGCCATGGGGCCGGCCCCCTCTGCCCATTTTTTGATTGGATTGTTTGTTTTTTTGTTGTTCAGTTGTGTGAGTTCTTTATCTATTATGGAGATTAACCCCTTGTCAGATATATGTTTTGCAAATATTTTCTCCCAGCTGGTGGGTTGTCTATTCATCTTGATTCTGGTTTCATTTGTCTTGTAGAAGCTCTTTAATCTGATAAAGTCCCACTTGCTTATTTTTTCAGTTAAGAACATTTTTGATAAGTGTTTTATGTCAAATGTTTTGTGCTTACACAGTGGTGAATGAACTGAACTCATATTCCTAGGGATTCTTGCAAAAAAATTCTTCTAAAGTTGCTCACAAAATGTTGACTTTATAAATGTAGTACATTCTACTAACACTACGTTTTAAATGGCTGTTGACAATGAAACTATGCTCTTCATTCATATAGAAATTGGCAGATTATCTAAAACATCTGAAAAAGTGTAGAATGCAAGTAGATATTTTTAAAGTAAATGTATTTTATGTAGTAAACTGTTTCTTTGGATTGGTTTCATGGATTCCAATTCTGTCATGAAGTCTTTTAACTCTGTGAACATAATTTTCCCAGAATAGCTGTATTGTGATTAATCCTTATGCTAAAGTGATTATTGTGATATTAACAGACTTCAACTAGCAGTTCCTAAATGTTTCTTGGGTTGTGGTGATTAGATACTACTGAAGAACCTTAAGATTCTTCTGGCTTGTTTTCACCTTATCACTTCAAGGGCTAAGCTGTTTAAAATGCAACAGAAACATTTGACCCAATTGAACACTAGATAACCTGGGAAAATAAACCTGTTACTGTTTCTGTTGTAAAAACTTATTTTTTAGGTATGTGGTGTTTGTGATTATAAGTTGAAGTGGAATTGCTTAGTCTTGTGAAACTCGTGTCAATAGTTGAAAAAACACGTATGCCTTCAAAGTAGAAGGCTTGAGTGAAATATATTAGAACATATTTTATGGGTTTTGGTTTAGCAGAAGAAAACAGTGAGAAGCAGATTAAGCTGGTTATTCATGATGAAAAGTATCTAAAAGATGAAATGGAGAATGGTTAAACATTAAGTATTGTATCACAACTACTCTGAAACTAGTTGCTTTTAGTTTAAAATATGCCATTTGTGAAATTCAAAGTAAGGGGTTTGCTCTGAAGATTAAACAGCTTCTTGAAAGTTAAATTTGACTTTTCCAGAAGCGCTAGATTACTTACTAAATGGAAAATATAATTAATAACTTCAAATTACTATTTCAAGTAGTCTGTTACTAGTAGATATATGATTCTATTACATTGTAGTTTCAGATAAAACTTTGTTAGTAACCTACTTCCTAAAAATAGAAAAATGTTACATGAAGGAGTGCTTTTTTGCATTTTAGGAACATAATAGACCATACATAATACTCCTAGTCTTGGGAGGAGCTTGTTAGTCCAACAGCATGCCTTAGTGTTGACTTATACAAGAGAATTTTAAATATTGCCTTTGAAAGGCAGTAGACTAATGTGGCAGTCGCGGTTTATGAAACGAGAAAATCGAGCTTTGATTTGAAAAAATTTTTTGTTTTTTAAATTGTGCAGATTGTGGAAGTCATTTCTTCCAAACAAGTGACTGTAGTTGGAAAATTGCTCGCCTTGACTAAATTAATTGGAAAATCCAGAAACACTAGGATGAGGTTTGTTTAGGATTTAGGTTATCTTAGTGTGTGTGTGTGTTTATGTTTGTTTGTGGGGCCGGCCTGGTGGCGCAAGCGGTTAAGTGCACACAGTCCGCTTTGGCGGCCCAGGGTTCGAGGGTTGGGATCCCGGGCACGCATCGACGCACTGCTTGTCAAGCCATGCTGTGGCGGTGTCCCATATAAAGTAGAGGAAGATGGGCATGGATGTTAGCTCAGGGCCAAGCTTCCTCAGCAAAAAAAGAGGAGCATTGGCATTGGACGTTAGCTCAGGGCTGATCGTCCACACACACACACACACACACACACACACACACACTCAAAAAACATTGTAAGTATAAATATATATGGGCTGGCCCGGTGGCGCAAGCGGTTAAGTGCGCAAGCTCTGTTTCGGCAGCCTGGGGTTCGCAGGTTCGGATCCTGGGTGCGCACCAGTGCACGGCTTGTCGAGCCATGCTGTGGCGGCATCCCATATAAAGTAGAGGAAGACGGGGTTGGATGTTAGCTCAGGGCTGATCTTCCTCAGCAAAAAGAGGAGGATTGGCAATGGATATTAGCTCAGGGCTGATCTTCCTCACACACAAAAAATAAATAAATAAAATAAACTTAAAAAAAAAAAGAATTACTATTTGCTAAACTGACTAGGTTCAAAATGTAATGCTAGATATTTGTGTTACAATTTAGTTAGTATTTCTGGTATAGGGCTAAACTACTTTGCCTGTAATCCTCATGATAGTAATGGCTGGATATTTTATTCTTGCCTTTAAGATTGTGAGTAAAAATTCCTTATTCCATATTAAAGTTTTCTTATTTAATTTTATAGTGGTTTAGTCATTC